AGTGGCAGAAAGCCGATTTAAATTAAGGTAAGGGTTAGGGTTAGGTTTAGGGTTAGGTTTAGGGTTAGGTTTAGGGTTAGGTTAGGCTGAGTGCTTCGGAAGGCGCGGATTTGCCCTCCGCCCTTATGTCAGCGCGGTAAGGTCGCATTTGCTTTAGCGATTCGGACGACGCGGATTAGCACTCACGCTTATGTCTCCGCAGATAAGGGCTTCGCGATATTGTGGTGGAACCCATTTTAAGTGTTTGTCCAAGTAATTATATAAAAAAGATACTGTACACAATAAAACAATTGCAATTGTGTTGTGTAGGTAAATCATAGTGTGTGTTTTAACTTATTTTTATTTCAGATTTTGCTTTTAATCTTATTGTGGCAACACAACATGTGTTCTGGCCTGTTGGAGAACTATGTGGCTGCCATGGTGTTGAGTGCAGCTGGAGATGCCCTGGGCTTTCGTAATGCAAAATGGGAATTTCAACGAAGCGGTGAGAAAATTCACAATGAAGTAGCCAAAATGGGTGGCGTGGACCAGCTTAACATACAAGGTTGGAAGGTCAGCGATGACACCATTATGCACTTGGCTACTGCTGAAGCCTTGGCTGCTGCTGGCAAAAACCCAGATTTATCCCACTTGTACAAACTCCTTGCAACAAACTACAGGGATTGCATGGATGACATGACTGGACGATCTCCAGGTACATTTTTAAAATGTTTCCATGGGAATGAGTAAATAACATTTCTCAAATGTCACACTTTACCAGGTGTATTCTGCTTCACTCTTGGAAAAGCTCCATTTACAACACTATTTACTGGCCTTTTTAATGATTTCTATTTGAAGGTAAACCTACTTTTGTGACCTGCACAGCCACTTCTGGCTACAATTGCTGAAAATTATTGTATGCTTTAGTAGCCACAGTTCATACTTAATTTTTTTCAAGTCAGATCTTATTAGAGGGATAGCACCATGTGGTTCCAGATGGTTTGGAATAAACACCCCCACTCTCTCAGGGCATTGGTTATGTTGATTGGAAATGATGGGACTTAATTACTAACCAATCTAGAGAGTAGCAGCATGTAGAAGGTTAGCAGAGATATAAGAATGAAATGAAAATTGTAAAATTGAAGGCTAAGATGAGATTTTTCCAAATATTTACCTCATTACTCAATCTTCCCTCCTACCATAGTTAGCTATTTCTCTTCCCTGCACTATAACTCCTTCTCTTAATCAGGACAAATATCTAAAGGAATGTTAATCTCTCCAGTCTATTCCTAGAACATACCAAAATTTGATTCAAGTATATTGTGGCATTTTCCTTTCCCATCAAATATATTGAAGATCCTTTGATCGGTCCAGAATTCAGTGGTTTTTGTAGTAATGGGAGTCTCTGGGTTTTCTCACGTAAAACCTCTATTGTGAGAGTAGCACTGTTTACCAATTCTGTTTCAGGTGCAATTTCAGGTGTGGTAACTCCCTTGAAAAGCCCAACATGGTATAGAATAACCAATGGACCATCTTTTCCCAGTGTGATTGGAAAGGGGGCAGTTTCTATGTTCATTTGACTATTATAGGAACAGATTTTCTTAGTTGTGATTCCTCCTCCTTTGGAACACCCTTCTTCCCAGTATGAGATTGTTTCCCACTGATTTTACAGAAAGCAACTAAAAACTGACTATTGGGAATAGAATTGTGATGAGGGGATTACTGTATTACTGGTTAAGTTCCCATGTGTTTAAGAGTACAATAATATATCCTGCTAAGTGACAAATCATGGTTCATTTGCTATTAATTATTTGATTTCTATAGCCATCTATCTCAGCCAAGTGACTGGGTGAAGAATACAAAATAAATAAATATATTTTAATAATTGCCAGTAAAGCCAAGAAATGGCATCCTTTATACATTTAAGGGCCCAGGCACATAGCTAGGTTTTAAAGCCTATGAAAGGTTAACAGGGGCAGGACCATTTTAATTTTGAAGGAAAAATGTTCCAAAGAGCAGGGGCCATGACTGAGAAGGTACGTAATCTGGTTCCTGTCAGTTGACATTTCTTGGCTGGTGGAATCTGCTCCAATGCCCAACCTGCTAGACCAAATTGGACTGGTAGAAACTGTTAGGAATATAATTCTAACAGTTGAGTTGGCAATATATAAATTATATAGCAATGCTGTACCTGTTTCTTTAAATCATACTGTAAAATGTGATTGGTTGCTGTTTCCTCAATCGGCCAAAAGAGGGAGTCAGAATGACTGTTAGCTCTCTGTTTGTTAGATGCTGGGCTGATCTGATTTGGACGCTGGCTGTTAGAAAGTGCCATGAGCTATTGTAAGTTTTGCAACTGCTAGCAAACTTTGAGTACCAGACTGTTTGTATGATTATGGACTATGTTATTTGGATTATCCCTTAACTGAAAGACATTGATGACTGACTGTCTTATCCGTGTATGACTTGGACTGTTTGATGGACTCTGATACGTCTATTTCCACAAAAGTAAAAGCCTATTTAAACTGCAGTGTGTCTGTATGCTGGTTTGTGTGTTCTCCAACACAACTCTCACAACGCTTCTCAACGCACTTGCTCTCCCAACGGGGAGCTTACCTAACAGAAACCTTTGGGAAAAGATGGTCCCAATCCCAAGCCATTTAGGGCTTTAAAGAAAGTAAAATAAATGTGTGACACACTATTTATTACCTATGCAGCCACATTCTCTTACCAGTTGAAACTTTCAAATGATCTTCAAGGACAGGCCAATGTAGTTCAGGGATTGCATGAGTGTAGTACAGCACTGCAGTAGTCCAAACATAGAACAATACCCAAGAATCCAGTTTGGCTTCATGCAATGTGTGAACCTAACACTTGCCTTTTGAATTTTACTGAACAGGCATATTTAAATTTATATTTATACATTTATTTAAATTAATATATGCCTTTGATCCAAAGAAGTCTTTTATCAGCTTATAAAAGAGAGTTAAAAAAAAACCTTCTAAAAAAAGCAAGGGTTGTAACATGAGAAAATAAAATCAGGAGAAATTGAAATGCAAAAAAATCAAATGCATCAAATGCAATTAATCTGATGTGTTTCTATGTTGTTTAAACCAGGGGTCACCAACCTTTCGAACCTCAGGGATCACTAAATTCATAGTTTTACATCCAGCGGACCACTAATATGATTTTTTTAAAAGGATAAATATTATTTTATGCAATATAAAAATGCAAATAATTTTTCTGTGGACCACCAAAACTTTCTCACGGACCACGGACCACCAGTTGGTGACCACTGGTTTAAACGTTTCTGTTCTGTTCTTGTGTCTCATTAAAATTCAGAACCCAATGACTACTTGTGGGGGGATTCTGGGAATACCTAAAATCTATTAGCTTCAGGTTATGCACCACAGGTATAGTGCTCAGATATGGTGTACTCTGAAAAATATAACTGAGGATGGGTTGTGTGTTAAGTACATATGTATGCCGTGCCATCATTCCCCTGAAAACTTCCAAATTAAGATGAAATACAAAGGACAGTTTTAAATGACTTTTAGAAAAGTCCATGTCCATGGTTTGGGCTTCTTGTAGCTCCTTGTAGAATAGCTTGTAGGCTTTCGGTTCTTGAGAAATTTATACATCTGTAGACTTCCTTATTGTTTTACAAGCCAGAAACTCTGCAAATCATAGGGACTTTCCCTTCTGGACAAGCATAGGGAAATTCCTCCTATTGCCCTGACCTTCAGAAAAGCTTGCAAAGTAACCTTGCTTTGTAAATTCTTGGTAACTAGGTAGAAACTTTTCTTTGGGATCAGATTACATTAGTGAAGATAATTTATCTAAAGAAGTATTTTGTCAACCTAAAATTGTTTTTTTTAAAACCATAGATGACTATATGTCAATAAATTAACTCACATTCTCCTTTACAAAAATACATCGTACATACCTCTTGGCTCTTAAAGGGTTATAGAACTGGCAGTGGTTACATAGATAGTGAGTCTGATTCTCTATTTAATAGAATCAACTACATTAAAATGCCTTCAGATAACGCCTGTCCAGACTTTGTTTAAACATATTCAGTTTTGTGAAGCCTATCACCTCTCTGAGTAATTAGTTCCACTGTTAAAACAGTTCTCTAATTCTTATGCATTTCTGTGACTTACATCATTCTCTGTTCTATTCTGTACAATGATAGGAAACAACTCTTGGTTTAGTTCTGTGTGAACCACACTGTCTTATGATTTTGAAAACTGGAAGATGTCTACTGTAGATCCCTAAGCTCCAACCGCCCAAGTACTACATTCTGCTTCCATCATTGCTAACCAAAGTCTGTGAGAAGTCCAAAAACACTCACCCATGCAGATTTTTAGCAATTGATATTGGGAGATTGATTGCTTCTGTTCCCAAAAGATACTTTGGACTTCTCTCTAGTTCCTTGCTGGATTTCTTAAAGATATTTTCATTATGTGGAACCTAAAAACATATTCATGAAAAATACACAAAGAAAGAAGTTGTCAAATAATCCTTTCTTCCATTTCTCTTTCTCTCCCCCCCCCCTCTCTTCTGCAATTAGAATGTGTAACAATTCTCTCAATTTTCATGTAAACTAAAAGGGATTGCAGATGTTTGGAAAAAAAATGAAATCTTTTCTTCCAGGTGTAATATATGCATACTTTGGTATAAATTTAAAGGGTTTTCCACTCATATATATTCTGATTTATATACTGCATATTCTTTATTCTGTATGTAATCAGAATTAAGTCCCACAACTTTCAGTTGGGACCTAATTCCATATAAGTGTACATCTAATTACATACTCAGATTGTTTATTATGTTAATTATGCTTTTTGTAATTATTACATTATCTGCTTCTTCAATTTACTTGCTTTACCAATATTGTCAAGGCTGTTCAGATTTATGAACAGCATTAACAATTTTCAGTTTCACAGTGGTAAAACAGGCTTTTATACAAGAGTGGGTTTGTATTGAAATGGATTGCTAGTTTTGATTTCCTTTTTGCATACAGTTTTCTATGATAGTTCAATAGTATCACTTTCACTAATTGCTACTTTTGTAAACTAGGCTTCTCTATTCTGAGTTCTTAAAATGTATTAGAAATGCCGCCACATCTTCAGACAATATTGGCTAGGTTGATTAAGGATAATGGGCCTTATTAGAAAACATATTTAGAAACACTCAGAGGGTTATTTTACATTGTGCAAGAAGACAGACACAGCAAAAGTTTATTTGGGGAGATTTTTCTGATAAGTCATTTGGAGTTATGTTTTTTTGGAAAAGTTTGGCCTAACCTCTATTTCTAGTGTTTTATTGTTTTTGCTGCCTGCTTAATGAACATGTTCTGATACGATGTTCCATCTTTTACAGGTGGTACTTGCATGTATTATGCTATGAATTTGGATCCAGATGACCCAAATAGCTGGATACCTAGTTTCTGTGAAAATGGAGGAGGGTGTGGAGCTGCCATGAGATCAATGTGCATTGGACTAAGATTTTGTCATCCAGAAGACCTGGAAACATTAATTGCAGTCAGTATTGAGAGTGGACGAATGACTCACCATCATCCGACTGGTTATCTTGGATCCCTTGCATCTGCTCTTTTTACTTCTTATGCTGTGAATCAAAAACCAATAAAGGAATGGGGAAAAGGTCTAATGGAAGTGATCCCTAAAGCAAAGGCCTATATCAAGAAGTCCGGCTGCTTTGTAGAGAAAAATTTGGAGCATTGGTAAGCATGGGTATTTGTGATGTTAATAGTTGAAAGTCGTAAGCATATCTGATATTTTTGTGACTGTATAGTGCTGAGCAAGCATTGAATGTATTCTATCCAGACAACCCACATAGATAATTTGGAACAAAAGAATAATCTATGAGTGGTCTTCCCATTTGAGCTCTCAACTAGAGAACACAAGAGAGTTCCAGAATGGAGGGGAAAAGGTAAACAAATAACAGAATAAGATTTGGAAGAGACCTTGGAGGTCTTCTAGTTTAACCCCCTGGTCAAGCAGGAAACCCTGTATCATTTCAGACAAATGCTTGTCCAATTTCTTTTTAAAAACCTCCAGTGTTGGAGCACCCTCAACTTCTGAAGGCCATTCCACTGATGATTCTAAAATAGTTCCTGCGGATTTAGAATAACCCACTAATTGTTGCCGACAATAGGGGTCAGTGCTCATCTCCGTTTCAAGGCCATTGAGTCCACCTGTCTGAAGACTGTCATGTGGCCAGCATGATGTCACAAAGTGCTCTTACTTTCCCACATTTGGATTGAATCAAATGTTTCATCCCTGACCCTTGCATCTTAATTGCTGGACCAGCACATCATGCTCTGTCAAGAAATTTCTCCCTAGTTCTAGGTTGTTTCTCTCCTTGATTAGTTTCCATTCATTGCTTCTTGTTCCATCTTCAGCTGCTTTGGAGAATAGGTTGATCCCTTCTTCTTTATAGCTGACCCTTAGAGATTGTAAGACTGCTATAATGTCACCCTTAGTCCTTTTCATTAAACTAGCCATACCTAATTCCTGAAACCATTCTTTCTGTTTTAGCTTTCAGTCCCCAAATCATCTTTGTTGTTGTTCTCTGCACTTTCTAGAGGCTCAATATCTTTTTTATATTGTGGAGACCAAAATTGTATGCAATATGTATTGTATAGATAATAGGTAATGGGCAATGCCAAGTTTTGTTGCTTTCAATGCTGATCTGCATATCTTTCTAGGCACTATTTGATAACTTATGCCTCAATCCTCCTAATTATATTGGGTCCATTTATATATTTTATACGTCTAAAGCAACATCTTTTCACTGAATTTTTGTTACATTGGACTTCAATGTTCCTCCATAATCTTCCAGCTATCAAGTGGGGAGGGTGGAGTGGTTAGAGTTTTAATACAAATTTGTTAAATTACATATATCTAGCTTATCAATAGAAACTTTGCATTTCTATTTCAGGAACTACTTTGAAAGCCAGTGGAAGAAATACCTGAAAATCAGAGGCATCTCAGACGGGATCTCTCCTCCTTCCTTCCCTAAAGAATTTGGTGTGAAAGAGAGAGACGAATTCTACACTTCCTTGAGTTTCTCTGGGTGGGGAGGTAGTAGTGGCCATGATGCACCCATGATTGCCTATGATGCCATCCTGGGCTCTGAGAACTGGACTGAATTAGCTCTGCGGAGTTTCTTTCATGGTGGGGATAGTGACTCTACTGCAGTGATTGCTGCATGCTGGTGGGGGGCAATGTATGGCTTCAAAGGGGTTAGTGAAAAAAACTATAAAAATATTGAATACAAAGACAGACTGGAAAAAGTGGCTAAGGAACTCTATCATCTCAGCTTGCCTACCCAAAAGTCCTACTGCTAGAGGTGAAGCAATTGTTAAAATTCGGCAAAATATTTACCTGTGAACTTATAAAAGAATGCGAATAGTGAATACATCTAGATTGTGATTTAAGTTATTCAGTAAATATTACTGAAAAATCTATCATCTATACTTTAAAAAACTTGAAGAATGTATTTGAGGATAATGTAACATTTAGCTGGAAAAGTAAAGGGGAAAAGATACCTCTCATTATATTTGTAAAATTGGTTGGGACCTCTAATCTTTTGTGTTTTGTTTGTATTTAGGAATGTAGCAGAAGAATCTGAAACAAGACTTTTTGACACATGCATTGGGCTTTCTAGGAAGTGTGTAGGCAGATAAACATTGTCCCTGCTCCAATTTTACTTTTTGGATTGTAGTTTTAGATGATCAGGGAGAGCCATTAGTCCTCTAGCTGCAACTGAGCTGTTGTCATCCATCATTTCAAATTGCTGCCATAAATATAAGCAATTCAAGTCCTGCCTTAGCCATGAAAGCCAGCTGGGTGTCTATGGGCCAGGCACTGTCTCAGACCAACTCACCTCCTAGGGTGGTCATTGTGGGGAAAATAGGAGGGTGGGGTGTTGGATGCATTGACTGCCTTGAGTTATTTGTATTCATAATGTATTTATGTAAAAAATAATAAAGGCGGGATATGCATACATACGTACACATTCACTCTGTGTACTTTTGACTGACATCTTTGCAAGCAGTGAAATACACCTTGGCCTCAGGAGTTATAACATTAAGTTTTGCTTAGCATTTTGCAAACTTTGTTCATTCAAACCAAATAGAGTTCTGAACTAGTTGTATTGAAGATGTCTGGCTCATAGATTATTTATTTGTATCCTGTCTTTATTATTTTTACGAATAACTTAAGACAGTGAACTTATCTAACACTTCCTTCTCCTATTTCCCCCCAAACATACACCCTATGAGGTGAGCTGGGCTGAGAGACAATGACTGGCTCAATGACCATTCACCATGGTAAAAGTGGGATTTGAACTCATGTCTCATCGTTTCTAGCCTGGTGCTTTAATTACTAGAACAAACTGCTCTCAGACTAAAAAAAGTCTTTGTGTTTTAAGGACAATCTCTTAAGGAAGAACAAATGATAAACAATTGCTATGCATAGAGATATTTTGCATAACTCCAATAATATACTGCCACATTAGCTTAGATTCCCATTCCTTCCTCAGAATTGTTGAATCTTTAAGGAAAAGCAGATCTTCCGTTTGCCATTATAGCTAAGCTCCAGCAAAGTTATATTTTTATAATCTTAGCTTTCAGGATGAAAGGGGAACAGACCAGTGAAATCCATTCTTCTGTACAAATGAGTCACTGTAGACATTTGTTCAATGCTCATGTTGTGTGTCCATGCCAGTGATGCCAAGCCATGGTAAGAGCAAAAACATTGTGGCTTGCTGTGGTTGAACACCCAACTTGACATAAACAGCACATTGATAGCTGGTATAAAATTTTTGTTAACAGTTCAAAACCATTATTAACACAAGACAATAAATCACCATTTTAACACAGTTTACTACAGCTTGCATGTGTGTTGTATAAAACATTTAGTGCAACATGGTACAAAGTTTCTCTTTAATAATAATAATAAAAAACACATTTTCTCACATCATGCAAAGGTAGCTTGTTCCTTTTCTCTGGGTAGAGAAAGAGTGGTCCAAAAAGCTTTGTGAAAGCTTTTTGCAGGCGGTGTCCATGTTTTAAAAAGAAAGCCCATTCTGAACTGGTAATCAGTTTGGCAGCACAAGGGACAAGTCATTTGCAAGTGATCCTTGGTGCTGCTTGTGGGACAATTCTTCCACTATTTAAGAGGCTTTAGGACATCCAAATACTTTCCCAAGAGTCCACAGTCCACAGATTGGAGAGTTAGCCACTGGATGTCGCTGTGGGATAACTTTCCATAAGCAGGCGTGCAGAGAAGGATTGCTGGTAGGGAAGCATTAATGCTACTAGGTCAGTTGAAAATATTTCTGATGCAAAGATAAGAAACAATGTTGTTTAGGGCACGGATTGTCCCACTCCCTCCTTTCCTTTTTAAGACCTTAACTCAATTACCGCTCCTGCCCTCCAGCAGTATATGTACAAGATGTTTTACATCAACAGAACTGTAGAGAGAAGCTAGGAACTTTTGAGTGCGTCTGTGTGTAGGTGTCTCATTTTCTTTTTAAATCCCCTCTGTTCTGAATTGACAGTATAGGCAGGCAGACAAAATATTTTTTTTTCAAATTGCACATTATATAAGATTAAGGTTTTGCAGAGGCAGATTTGGTTCTGGGAACTTTCTGGGTGCTTTATTAGAATGTTGCAAGGATGGGAAACTCTTTTAAAAACCTCAGAGCTTAGATCAATATTTCCCCCCTTAAGAACAACCTGCCTCAACCTAAGGTCCTTTAGATGTGTTTTATTACAAATCTGTTATTTCTAGCCAGCATAACCAAAGGCCCTGCTGGCTGGGAATTATGCAAAGTGTAGTCTCCACCCATTTCGGAGATTGAGAAAGTCTGCTCGAATTTAGTATAACGGGCATTTCTTTCTCTTGACATAAGGAAAACCTTTGCCTTGGTGTTAAAGCACCATTCATCACTTTGTTATTCCCACAAATTGCTTTAATAAGGACAAATTAGAAAAACTATTAGTTTTCACTCTTCAGGAAGGAAAAAAAACCTGCTGTATTGCTATCTTCTTACCACTGATCAACCACCTTCATGTCAAGGCAGCATAACATGCTGGCATATATCGCTGACACTATGAATCATACAGATCCACCTCTTTTATGAAAATTAGCAACCAGCTGTGCCAGGAAGACTTTTAGGAAGACAGTAAACACACTTTTCTTTTAAGTTTTAAAATTTCCCTGTCTCTGCAGCTAGAATCAGGGCACAAGAGATCTGGTCTGTCATGTATAACAAGCATTTTCCTGGACATGGAAAGCGCTCTTGACTTGAAGTAGGGATTCCACCTGAACTGAACCAAGGTCTCTTAATGCTGTGCCTTTCATAGAAAGAACAACAGTTCTTAGCCCAGCATATTTTCACTTACTGTGGTTTATGCAAGGCTGGTGGAATGAAGATGAGGGTTAGTATACCTGAAGAAATAAAGCTGAAATAACAAAGCAGCATATACATATATGGGAGGAAAGGAAGAACATTCATACCCCTTCTTGCCTGATATAAGCTGCTTTGTGTAGACAGTGCAGCTGGATATAACATTTGTAAGAAACAGAAATTGGTCAGTATGTCAGCCCTTTCTCTGCTCTGTTTCAACATTCCACAGTTATTACAGTGCCAGGCCACACAAGGAGGCAGTTACTTCTGCACTGCTTCCTAAACTTTGGTCAAGATTAGGATCTATTTTTTTTCCCTGCTGCAATTTCTAAGTGTGATAGTGGAGCATATTTAAACCAGGGCCTTTTTGGTCATTAGAATTAGACAGGCAATTCTATGTGGGGAAATCAAAGTTTTCCTTTGATGGATTGTAATTTCTTTTTGAAGCTAAAAACAAAGCCCCTCCCCCATATGCATTTTCAGTCCTGAAGTAATAGGAAACATCCAGACCTAGATGGCAGAAACAATGCTGCTTAATATGTAGTATGGAGTGATCCCAAGTTCATTTCTCAAAAGCAATATGCCGTTTCTCTGGTCCACTCCAAGGACATGTAGCTGCTGAAACAAGCCCATTTGATAAAACAAGCTTACTCAAAATAAAGTGCCCCACTTTGGCACAACCAGAGCCCAACTTAATCAATACATTCTGGAGTCTGTCCTCTGCATAATACAAGAATACATATTTGAGCAACAGAATTACAGCCCAGAAGACAAATGATGACACTGGATGAAAAGGAAAACAGTATGAAAAGTCATTATATACAGCGAACAAATGGACATTCTATCCCCCTTAGCAATTGGCTGTTTCTTCACAGGCATTCTGGGGTGTTCAGGCTCCTTTAGCCCCAAAGGTGATAGGACAGTGTAGCAGAGGTAAGCTGGTATCCAAAAGTTCAGATGGTGAATAAAAATACAACAAAATAGACCTCCTTTGGGTTTCAGATGCAGCTTTACCTCTTTTAGGGCTCTGCCATTTAATCAATAGTTCCTGGATGAATGCTGAGAACAGGAGGCTCCAGACACGTGGGGGAATAGTTTAGGTGTGGCTCTTTGATCCATAACAAAGGAACTCCATTCTTTCCTTCTGAATTCTTGCTGGAATTTCGGCTTTTGAATCGCACCAGCAGAATGGTGATGATGAGAATGCCAAAAATGGGAAAGGGATAAAAAAACACGAAGTAGAACAGGGAATCATTGTTGCAGATAACAGACTGCAGAGAGGAACCTAAAAAAGAGTGAAAAGGTAGTAATAAACTTTCAAATCAATACATTTCTTTTTTCTGTATATACTAAACATCTGTGAGTCTATGCCTGTGTGTGCCTGCATCTGTGTTTGTTAAGTCAATCTTGATGTTCTGGCAATTATATGGACAAACTCCAGTTTTAATATCCACACAATTTTCTTGGCAACATCTGCAGAAGAAATCTATTGTGGCCTTCTTAATATGAGAGACAATGATTGGCCCAAAGTCACCCAACTGGTTCTGTGCCAAAGGTAGGACTAGAACTGGAATCTTTCTGCACCTAGTCCAGAGCCTTCACCGCTAGACCAAACCTCCCCTTGTAAACAACTATTAAGAAGCAATATACCAAGTTAGGATAAAATCAGTCCTATGTGAATTCTTTTAACCAAAATGTTTTCTTTACTACAATATTCAAATTTAGCAACTGTATTTCTCAGTTACTAAAAATGAATATAAATTGCCTTATGTACAGGTCATGGATTGGCAATCCAAGGGAAATTAATTTTTAGAACTTTGACTCCTTTTGATCTCTGAGCCATAATCTTTCTGTTTTTGATAAAATACCATACCTTTAATTTTAAGAAAAATATATATCAGAGACTGTGGAGAATAAGGATAGTATAGTGAACTGGGACCTGAGATATACAGATTCAACTACACCTCTACTAATGGAAACTCACTAGCTGATTTTAAATCAGTGATTTTCTTACTCAATTGATTTAATGAAGAAAGCTTTCCATGGAAGCTGCCCTGAGCTCCTTAGTAAGGCAGTTAATACATATGTACAGTTATATTTTCATGCCAAACAAATTAAGTTTGATGGCAAAACAAAAGTTTGGTCTTAATTAATGCTTTTGGCATTCTGTACATAGTCCTGGATCTTAAGTTGCATAGCTCTGCATTACAACGGGGAAACTTCTAAGTTAGCAAATGCTCAATTTGCATGACATTTTGATGTAGAAAAGTAACTATTCCCATTAATATGCAACAGGTATAACGATGCTAGAAACCTGTAGTGCCAGAGATCGTTCTGCAGTACTCCTGCAGTGCTAATTTTCTTCAATTTGTTTCAGAAAAAATCTAAAACGCATTTAGATTACCCAGAGTGACATAGTTTTGAATATTTTGTAATTTGCTCATACATTACACCCAGCATAACTTGTAACTTCCACCCGTATTTTTAGGATATATCATTTAGTTATTTTTTAGTTATTTTTCTTAATTGCTTATTCTGCATGGCATACATTACTTGTAATCAACATTGAAAAAATGGGCAGACTTTACTGGGTTGGAAATAACTGATACACAATCGTTGTTTTCATTAACTAATATTCTGAAAACATTTTATTTAATATAGATCCTTCAAAATATTCTCAAGCTATGTTCTTACTGAATTTTTACAAGCCCCATTCCTATCCATTAAATACCTGAATCATCTTACCTGTATCTTGCACATAAACAGTTATAAGACCAGAATCTTCTTCTGTAAGTTTGTACCATACTCCCTTGGGATCAGGTAGCCACTCTTCCACATGGCATGAGTAATTGCCAGCATCAGAAGTAGCTGCCTGCAACACAGTCAGTCGATAGAACATGGCTGAAAGTCTTTGAAAACGTAGTCTCCCTTCCCAAGGGCTGGCCTCTCGGCTGAAGACGAAATCCTGGCCCACTCTTAACAAGGCCTCTTTATCTTCTTCATTCTTGTGACCAGTTTGTCCACTTCGGTCTTTATTCTTCATGATGAACCATGTCACAGCAAAACGGGAATCCTGGCTGGTAGGTGACAAAATGTTGCAATCCAAATGGAAATGGTCCTGTTCCGGCACTGTGAGGTTGGCTATTGTTGCATCCACTTGCAGTGAGGCATCTGAAAATATTGAAGATATATAAAGGCCAATTAGTTTCTCTAATTGTACAGAACATGAGCCAATGCTGAAAAGGAAAATTTGGAATTTTTTGATTGAATGGCCCTCCCTTCAGAATACATTTTACCTGAAATGAGACACAGAATTTAGGTTGGCCTGCAAAGACATGTTCCTCTTCTTGGCATAGAAACCAGGAGATCAAAAAATGCATGGTAAAGAACAAGCTGCAAGGGTGTACTGCCAACTTTCAGATAATCAAGGAAGAGAGTGTTAAGAAAACAAGTGCTGGACAATGGAATGTGC